AACCCTCCGAGGAGAGGGTGTCGGCCGATCATTGCAGCTCCAACACATATAACCAGTGATGGTATCCTCAATGGACATGTGGATCCCAACAATGCACGTGGAAGGGCAAGAAATATGTACGTCTAGAATAAGTGTATTACAAGGAAAAGGATTGTTATTGGAGTAATTATGAAGGAAAAAATACTATGAAAATTAGGATTTGGATCTCATATTTTAGTAAGATGTGATGAATGTTTTGGGTGCTCATGGTGTCTTTAGTATGTCTTGAAAGCATGTTATATCAGGTTAAAAGAAAATAATTTTTTTTTATTTATAGGAGAAGTGTGTAAGAAAATTTATGCATAAGTGAGCATAATTTAAAAATCTTATAATTAATTTCACATAATAAAAATTTTAATATTCTTGATAAATATATGTGAAAAATGTCGAGCTATATTAATCTTTATGTGAAGTATATTATTTGATCATTCAACTTTGAGTTTTTTTTGTTTGGGGTTATTGACTCCCTCCACAACAAAATATATTGAATATTTATACTAATTATATTATTTTTAAAAATTATAATGAGATTTAGGTAGGAGGTCTTTTAAGATTTGAATTGAGATAACGTCAATTATAACTCAAATGAGTATTAGTTGATTTTTATATTTGTGTTATCTAATGTTAAAAAGTAGGTGAGTTGGCTTTTTCATCGTGCGCTAATTATATATTATTTTTTATAATTAGTTACATTTAATATCTTAGTTTTTATATTTTGAAAAGTTATATTGAGATCTCTATACTTACAAAAGTAAAATATTTAATCATTTTCTCTCTTAATTTTTAATTCTATAAAATTATCTTTTTAATCCTATATAAGAATTTTAATGTTTTACTTTAATAAGTATAGGAATTCTAATATAATTTTTGAAGACGAAACGAAATAATAAAAATAATTAATTACATAAGATAATATGTAATTGATCTTGATATTAATGATTAAACTAAGGTGGACCAATGTGCATACGACATTCAGAGTTCCGGATAGAGCTAGAACACATAGGTCAATGTCACCCCAACCAAGATGCACGATGTTTGATTGGACGAAGAAGAAGATATCCCCATCAAAATTGATAATTATGTCTAATAAAAGGTCAAACTAGTTCCATTACCTACTCCTATCTTTTACCTGCAAATAATGTATGATGATCTGTGAATGTCGTCTCCTTTTATAAGGAGGTTATTGCAAGTGACATTAACATACTCGCTCTCCGTGATATCATCATCTTCTGTTCATTAGTTTCCTGCCTTGCAGTCGCAATCACATCCGAATAAAGATGCGGCGTCTTCCCCTCCTGTCGCTGCTTGAAGACCGTGGCAGAAGGCAGCTACGACGAAGTCATTCTACTACTCGGTTATGATTTCAGACTCCCATGCATTGGACGCTACCATAAAACCATTGACTTTGACATCGGTGTCCTGTTACGCATGCGAGAGATCAGCAACCCCATTTCTTGCTACTTTACTCTGTAACAGCTGCAGCTCTTAAGCATCCAATGCTTCAATCGTTTCAGGTGGAACCCGCACGCTTTATGTACACGTGTATCATGCTTAGTGTCTCGGCTCTGCCGAAGCGTGTCCGCAGGAAGCTAGCAATCCAAAGAGCTGGTGAGGAAGGGCTTGGCCAAAGTCCACGATCAGGTCATCTACCAAACTCTTCTATAAAAGCAGGAGATGGCCGGCAATCTGATTTCGCGCATTGGGTGGTGTTGGCTCGTGGAGTATGGCCTTTTGGTTCTTCCTTCTTCTGGCGATCGCGTCTCTGAGCACAGTTCACGCACAGCTTCCTACTACTGACGGTGATCCAGCTTCTCCTGAAGCTTAATCTGATATTGATGTTGTTTCTTCCTATTTATTCTCAGTAGTTCTCTAGCAAATGATGGCATATACGTTTCCCGATGATTTTATCATGCATTTAGGCAGTAGCTGATCCTTGATTCATGTCAGTTTTGATGCCTCCCTCAAATCTCATATGATTCACGACACTTCCTTGAAAATGATTTCGGCAATCTCTTGGCAAATGTTCACTATCGATCACGGTGGTCAATCTTCATTCTATCATCATCTTTTGCAGGATACGTAAGTATCGACTGTGGCATCAGCAGCAACACAAATTACACCGACGAAACCACCAACATACCATACGTATCAGACGACGGGTTCATCGACACAGGGACGGACCACACCATCGCCTCCAACTACGTAGACTCCTCGCTCGAGAAACAACTACAGACTCTTCGAAGCTTTCCAAATGGATCTCGGAATTGCTACGCACTGACGGTTACGCCGGAGCAGAAGTACTTGGTGAGAGCCTCCTTCATGTACGGGAGCTACGACGGCCTGAACGGAGCGAGCCCCAGCAATCCCCTCCTCTTCGACCTTCACCTTGGCGTCAACCTTTGGACGACCGTCAACATCACCAAGGCATCCGATGTTCATCGGGCAGAGGCCATTTTTGTTGCTTCTGCTGATTCCGCATCAGTCTGCTTGGTAAAGACTGGCTCTGCAACTCCCTTCATATCTGCACTGGAGCTACGGCCGCTCAAGAACACCATCTATCCTTACGCCAATGCTACGCAAAATCTGGTCCTGTTCTTGCGAATTAACCTGGCACCGACCACGAATCACTTGTTGAGGTGAGCTGAAGCATCACAGCTGCTGATCACCAAAATATTTCTGTTTTCTTTCAAATTACTCGTAGAATTTGATTTGATTTGATTATATTTTTAAAATATTTTTTTTCTTCTATATTACAGTATTTTTTTTTATATTATAAAAAAAATACTATAACTTTGTAAAAATATTATAAGACCGAATTATAGGAAAATGAAAGAGAAAGAAAAGGGGAAGAGTATGTCTTTGGGTATTTATGATATTAGGTAAAAAAAATAAAAAGAGGAGTTTTTTTATAATATATTTGTTCTCCCAAATTTTGATATAACAAATTTATTTTTATTTAAATATTAAAATATTTCCACTAAAATTCATCCAAAAACTCAAGTTATCATGATTAAGTATTAATAATATTAACTAGTTTAAGTTAAAATATGTTATTATATATTAGAATCATAATGAGTTCATATAGTTATTGATGGTGTTTGGAGTTCCATCCATCATATATATATATATATATATATATATATATATATATATATATATATATATATATATATATATATATATATATATAAAAATATATTTTTTTTTATATAAAAATAATATTACGAGAAAGTGAGCTAACCGTAATATATATTTGTGATGTGGTGATGATAAACAGATATCCGTTCGACCGCTACGAGCGTATCTGTGTGCCTTTCTTTGCTGCGGTCGG